ATAAATGTGACACTTAAAACTCATTCAGAATTAATCAGTTGAGCTTAAATACGAGAAGATATGCACCTGTGAATCCTAATCACGTTGACGAGAATAATTTTAAAAATAGTTTAAACTACTTTTCTTCATACTCTTAAGAAATGAAATAATCTTGACTTTGACAGCAATCAATTTTCTATTTTATAATTACAATCACTATACATTGTGAGTGGTTAGGGAAGAGGCAACAAAATAAAAATACTCAATGCCACATTTAATTGAATTACTGTAACTTTTGTTGGCGCCATTTTCAATTTGCTAAAAATTTCCAAAAAAATTACAACTTTTCAGGCAGCTCGAAGTTTTCAGTATTTCTTATAAGTAGTCGATTATCTGAAAAAAATCATATTCACATAAAAAACTCCCACAGAGTCTTTATGTTAAAAATTTATTTTTATGAAGAGTAATCAATTTGCTCCATTTTTAGCGCTTGATTTTGGTAGGAAAAGCAAAACGTTGAGGGGACAATTAAGCTGCTACTTTTTGTAGTCGACAGGTGTCGAGGCTGTTTCTCTCTTCAGCTGCGTTGCAGCTACAGTTGCAGTAACACCCCTTTTCCTTCTGAGTTATTTGCTGACAAATACTGTTTGGTGGAAACTCAAACGCTCTACTTTTACACGAAGTTAAATTTGGTTTCCGCTGGTTACAATTCAAATATTTCGAAATTAACTTGTGGAAGATTTATAAAAAACTTACAGGTCTTAAAAGACGTAGGAGCGATTTAGGGGAGCAAAGATCACACCAAAAAATATGAAAAATCCAGCGTTCATTAAATAGTGCACAGCAGAAGAAAACTAAATTTGAATTTATAACCTAAAACTTCTTCACTCAATTTATGTCATATTGTGGCACAGTATAACAGAAACCTCTTGTTGTGCTCATATATTTGTAAAAAAAAAAAATGTTATTTTTATTATACATCGGTAAAATATATTATTTTAATATTATAAAAAGACCTTTTCATTTTATACAATTCTTTCCATACTTTGTCTAATGTGTAAGAAATAGCGAAAAATATAATATATTTTATATATACTATTTGCTATGTATTGCCTGTTTCAAGTGAAGCAGAACGAAAACCAATAAAGTAAGATATATCTTAATTTGTTGAGCGTATTTTTTTACTGTTAATTTATATCTTGTAATGCTTACAAAAATAGTGATTTAACTAAATTCTTAATTTTTTTAAAACTGAATTGAAATCAATCAATTTCCTTATTTTATGTGTTTGCTTTGGATTGAGCAAATTGGACCATATATTCTATAATTTTTTAATTAATTTGAATACTGCAAGTCTTTGCTCAGAAGTGACATATCCATACCACTGTTCCATGCTACGCTGACTTGCAATTCCGCAATCCATCTCAGAGTCGAATATGCAAAGCGCCGGGTAAGAAATGATTAGTGGAAGTGAAAATTTTTCACCAAACACTCTCCAAAAGAAGGAAATAAACGCGAGCTCTGCATTGAATGCGCCACAGTTACTATGGTTTTTATACGCGCAGATTTTATTATTGATGTTTATGATGGTTTTGTAGTACTAGTGGTTGTTATTGCTGCGGACGCCACCACTACAGCTGCTTATAATGCGTTGACATTTAATCAAGTTTGCTGCCAAAATCATCAACACCGCAACGCCCACAGACGCCACCGCCGCCCTTAAATATCCGCTTTTGCATACCGGCTCTCTCAACTTCAACTCCGTGATTTGGGTTGCAGGCAACAACTACATGCATATACTACGCTTAATGTATACCAAGAATGCCGCAAATATTTTAGCGTGACAGCGAAAATGCGTTCTACCAACATGCACCTAGCCGAAAGGGGGTTGGATGGAAGAAGCGGCTATGCTTAAGCGCATTAAATGCAGCAGCCAACCAGTGAAAACTATCACAAACACGCACACTTACACACATCTATACCACAGTCGCATTAAGTCATTGTCGCGAGTTAATGTAATTTCTTCGGCACTTATTTACCGTTGACATCCTTTTCGGCGGCAGCATCCGTCAACAGCAATGAAAATGTTAAATTTTTGTTATTGCAGAGAATACGTTATTTTGTTGATATTGTTGTTGTAGCAAATTTATTTAGTATGACGGTGTGCATCTGTAATTCATCGAGCGGAAGGAGCTAAGGCATAAAATCTGATGATATTCGGTGCAGATGATGGGGAGACAGCAGGGCGTATGAGTGACTTTTTATACCTTTCGGAAGTGAGAATTATATTATTATTTTAAGTAAAGCAATTTCAAATTTACTTATATAAATTGATAAAAAAACCGATATCGATGAATTTATAAAAAGCCAATTTGTTTCAGTTCTTGTGGGTTTCTGAATATAAATGCTCGAGTTAAGCTCGCAGTAATTTGAAACTCGGAGATCTGGTTTAACATAAGTCAACCATATAATTGAGTGCTCAAAAATATGTTTTTGGGTTCGAAAATAACTATAAAATTAGCTACGACTTTAAAATTTTGTGCATAATTTTTGCCAAAATTTTTCAATTTTGCCCCACTGTGCCACTGCTCAAAATTTAGTTTTCGGCTCATAACGACTTCAAAATTTCTGCTCATAACCTTGAATCTCGTATTGCGATTTAAAGTCATAAATAAGTTAATTTTTTTATGCTTATTTCCAAACTCGTTCCGCAGTTATTCAAAAAGGTAATAGAGGCAATATTTCTAGTTTGAGATTTTCGTCGATTTTAACTCCCAAAAATCTAAATGTATTCCTACATTTGTGGTATGCAAAACCAATATATTTTTGCAGTTGCCTAAAATTAATTTTCCAAAAAATCATAGAGGGTATACCCACGCATTTTCTGCCCCCTTTCCTGCCACTCATCAACTCAACAGATCTGATGTTGATGATTTCACAGCTGAATGCTGAATACGTAGCACATGACAAAGAAGGAAAAGCGTCAACTATTAACCACACACCTTGCTGCTTGGTAAAAAAGGCAAATAAGGCAAGTAACGACAATGGAAAACCCTCCTGGTGAAGTTTGAGAAAAACCACTAAGCGCAAACGCTGCGGGTAATGCTGACAAAGAGCAATGCTGTTGCATCACTGGTATGTAGCAGCAGCCTTGAGATTTGATGACATTTGTCAAAATGTTGACAACACCGCACAAGCTGCAGCAGTAACACCATTACCAACACACAACGGCTGCAGTCAGTGAAAATTAGAAAAATTACATGCATACAGAAACACGAATAAAAAACTGTGTGCTCAAATTTTCTTCTACACCGTTACACTAACGAAAATCCAGCAGTGTTGTCAAGGTTTCTTTCATATTTGAAGCATGTTTTGTTTGTTTTTGTGTTTGTTGTTGCTACTGTAGTAAAATCACAAAATATTTGCGGTTTATTTAAATGTAAAAATTTGCAAAGCTTCTTATACTCCAACGACTGCCATTGTTAATAGCTATTGTACAAATGTATTACTCGTGGTTGCTGTTTTTGTTGCAGCTCCTGCTGTTACTCTTCTCATGCATTTGATGCATAGAAATGTTGTGGCAACGCTGCTGGGTATTTCGAAGATTTCACATTTTCTGTGGTGTTTTTCACTTTTCTTTGTAATTGCCACCTTCTGCAACATTTTTGCAATTTTTGTTATTGTTGTTACCATTGCATGCAAATGATTAAGCATTGCAATGATGATGAAAGCAATTTTTTGCTTGGATTGTGAAGGGGAGAAAAGTGAGGTCTTAGAATGGCACCGTGACGTTTTTTAATTTCTCAAAATCGAGCAATGAAATTAAGCTAAGTTTGGCTAGATTTCTAGGTACAGCGCTGGACTTGGATGAGGACCGCAGAAAAGTTGTCAAAGTGTTTGTTTTTTTAATTTCGAAAATTAGATTCACGGAAATAATTTCTTCTTTTGACATCCAAAATACTAAGCTTGTTTGGAAGAATCTAATTTTTCTATAAATACTGAGTTTTTAACAAATTTCATTCTTCTGACTCATTATTTCATATTTTTAATCTTTCTTCCATGATATCAGACCAATTCAAAATACTTTTTCGCAGCAGAATCGCTATTAATTCCATGACTGAAACGATTGCAAAAATGCTCGACACAACCAAGCAGGAGACGTAGGGGAACGAGTCCAGATTATTCTAGCTCGCTGTTGCTTGAGCGGCTCCGGCTGGATAATAAAAGCGAGAAGTGTGACTTACGAAGTGTTGAAAGCATGATCTATCTTCTCTCAGCCAGTTAGAAGCCCTCACAGACCAAATTATTTTGTAATTATTTGCTATTGTTTTGTTACCCGATACTCACAGCAATCTTATTAAAAATGGATAACTGCCGCTATTTATCTGATGGAAAGTCATGTATTGAAGGACTTAATATTTGCATTCGTAACCAAAGCTGTTAAAGGATGACACCCTGTTTTTAAAAAGTAGATTTACAGCTCAAAGTAGATTCCTCTCATCCCAGTGAAATATGCTAAGAATTGCCACGCAAGCTTGAAGAAGTTATAGGTTTCTTATCACAAATGTATATTAAGTCACTCCCGCAAAGCATATACGACGCATGCCGTCATAGATTAAAATTGTCACTCATACGCAGTGTGGTCACGGAAATTACGCTTGCTCTATCTATATTTTTTTCAAGAAAAACAAATTCCACGAATGCAAGTTCAAGTCCTCAGCTGAGTCAAACAAATCTCTATATATACACATGTATGAAACGTCGCTCGAACACCTTTTCAGTGATGCCTTCACCACGCACATTATTGAAAAATAAATATTTGCACGCCCTAAAGTGCTTATTATGCAATTAGCTAGAATATTTATTTACGCTACATATTTCATCAGCATTTAGTGATAGAAACATGCCTATAAAAACCCACTTAAACGGCTCAAGTATGACATTAAGTGCTCTCGAGTGCCGTGAGTTGTGAGTGAGTTGTGGAAAGCAGAAATTAATAAATAAATAAAAATAAATAAAAAATGTTGCTGCTGTCACCTGCAGTCAACCTTTGGACGAGGCTACTCAATTTCATAAGTAAATTTGCATTTTTTAAAACGCAGAAAATATTTAAATAAATTTTATATATATATATTAATAAAAATCCCATCAACTCAATCACTCTTTTCAGTACAAACATATTTTATTGACTCTCATGCTACCTGTATCCTGTGGCATCACGATTTCCCATTTGAATTGCAAACACCAGCCAATAGTGAATTCATACAATACGTAAATATTTGGCCTGACAATTTGTCACAATCCCTACAGCAGGACATATACGATTTCGCAGGATTTGTCGAAGAGCAACGTGGCTATGGCATGGAACCGGATGCCTTGGTGCAGAAATTAACTATAGCCATAAGGCAGTCGCATTGTGAGGTGAGAGTTACATAATCATACGACGGCCCAAATGGGTATGTAGCTGCCGGGAGAGCGGAGGTTGGTTGGAGGGCGATAAAATTTAAATAACCGACAGATAAGCGCACGTTATAGCGAAATCAGTTTCATTTCGCATTTTGCATTTTAATTTAATTAACCATGAATTTTAATTGCAAATTTTTTAAGCTTCCCCACTCACACTATCTATTCACAATCTCTGTCTTTCTCCGTTTTTTTTTCACTTGCACTTCCTTAGTCTTTTATAGCCTTTCAACAGGACATTGAAATCTTTGCACGCAGCTTTTACAATGCCAGCAGAATGTCGGTATGGCGTTCGTTGCGTAATAAATTTCTATTTGTCTATCGTAAGGACCTGCAACAGGACACTGGAACAAAGGCGCAATTCGACGATGTTATTTTCAGAGGTAAATTAAATATATTGTATATAAATTTATAGGCGCACATATACACGCTTAAATATGTAAATTTATATGGAAGTATACATATATTTATTTCAGTTACACATTCATCAATGTTGGCAGTTCCTATCTGTATATGTATCTTTGTGTGTGTATGTGCGTTCAATTTACAGCCAGTTCAATTTAATTACAGATCAACCAAATATTTTAATAGTCGAAGCTGAATGCGGCAATTGCTCGACATTTACATTGAAAACTAATAAATTCATTGGACCGCTAGCCGAGCATCCGGAGCAATTGTATGTAGTGGATCATTACGACGGGTTGAGTGGTAAATTTGAGTTGGGCGTTGATTTGTATATGGACAAAGCGAGTAATATGCAAGGGCGTGAAGTGACAACGGGTGTATTTGATTATCGACCATTTACTGTTGTAGACTATGTAAGTTAATTTAATTTAAGTGGCTTCAAATCTTCTCCGGGAACGAAATTATTAATTAAAATAGCGTAGTAGAGTGAAAAATCATTTGAAAACAGTTTTTCACTAAAAGTTAAGTTAAGTCAAATAGAGAAAGTGTAACGTTTTCTCACTTTACGGTAATCTATTAAAGAGCTGAACAATAAACGCCTATCCGAATGATTAGCTTTTTATGTAATTTTTGTACCATATTATCATAACAGCAACAACTTACACGCCTCTTATTTTCTTTGAAAATATGAGACATTCAGGGGTTTTAAATACTCTGAAAAACATTCCAAATTACTTCGAAAACATTCCGAAATATTCTGTTACCTCCAAATGTTTACAATTCATTTCTTTTGTGTAAAACTATTTTCCAAGAAAGGTTTTGTTTAATTTACTCTTGATGTTTTAATTTTTTGAAGGACCGAGAGCCTCAAATAAAAGACATGAATTCTGAAAACCCACGCGGCTCTGCACACATTGACGGCTCTGAGGTTCGCATGTTAATGGCACTCTGTAAGGTAGTAAATTGCACGATACAAACTGATACCTGTAAGAGAAGTTTTTGAATTTGTAATACATTCGCAGTAATGCATTTTAAAATTCTAGCTGAGGACGACTGGGGCACCTCTTATCCCAACCTAACGGCCGATGGCATTTTTGGTATGATAACTGAGGGTAAATCACAATATGCTGTTGGTGCATTGTATTTTTGGTGAGCGAAAATTTCGTTAATTTTAATTTCATTATATTTACTACCATCGTAATCGGTACATATTTTTCTCGCAGGCCCGATGACTATCGTTTCTTGGATATGTCTCTTTTCATTGGCCGTTCTGGTGTGACCTGCCTTGTGCCATCACCACAGCGAGTCACTAGTTGGCTACTACCATTCCAGCCATTTCAGTTCACACTTTGGTTGGGCGTGTTTGCTTGCTTGGGTGTTGAGACGTTGGCACTTTTCTTTACTCGTCATCTGGCACCATCCGATACCGAACCACAATATGGTTTATTGGAAAGTTTTCAATTTGGTTATATAACCACATTGAAGCTATTTGTCTCGCAGGGCTCAGATTATGTGGTGAACTCAAATACGGTGAGAATGGTACTCTTCGCATGCTACATGATGGACACGATTGTAACGAGCGTCTACGGTGGCGGTCTCTCAGCAATACTAACATTGCCAAGGTGAGGGATTTTTTTGTCACATGAGAATGAAATATGATAACTGCTTTTATACCATAGCCTAGATGAAGCCGCCGACTCTGTTGAGCGGTTGTACCGACACGGCATCACTTGGTCTGCAACATCACCCGATTGGGTGATCTCGTTGTCCGGCGCTGGTGATGATGTGAGCTGGTTTTGAAAGATTAAAATGGTATTTGCGATAAAGTTTATTCTTAATTTTCACTCAAATTTGCTAGCCGATGTATGGACCTCTTCTCAAGAAATTTCGTGTGAACACTTATGAACAGCTGACTGAAATGGCTAAGACAGAGAATATGGGTTTCGTGCTGGAACGTTTGGCCTTTGGTAAGTACGAGAGCAGGTCTGTAAATGTGGGTAATTGTTAAAATATCTAGAAATAGATTTTGATGAATATTTGGAAAAATATAGTTTTATTTAAATCACTTTTAAGCACGTGATATTAAATGCTGCCTGCAAAAGAACTTCACACGATATTGCAGCACCTCATCAGTTATAAAAGCATTTCTTCTTTAATTAAAAATTTGAAAGTAAAAGAATATTAACTATATTTTCCGAATAATACATTGCATATCTATCTTTATATTATTATATATTTCACTATCATGCTATTAGTACCATTACTAATGATCGTTTCAATGCATCAAGTAATTGAACATCGCATAATTTTAGGCTTACAAACTGAGTAGCCTTTTGCAGTTTGTTATAAAAAATTATCTAAAAACGTATATGCAGATAACAAAAACGCGCTTTACATCATATGATCTTGATTCGATATCACATCACATGCACTTGGCATCACATGATATTTTTCTTTAAGTCAAATAAATATCTGTTGAGTTAGAAGCATTCTGCTATAAAAAACCTAAATTTTTATCAAACACTAATCACGAAATGTATGTGCAAGTTATTCCAACTTATTGCACGTATGATTTATTGTAGTTGAAGGCACATTATAACACCCATATCATGTGGAATACATTTGAATACTGCAACACATTAAATAACACATCATCTCATGAATAAAAGCAATCACATTATCGCTGAGCTCAAGTCCAAGGCATGTTATCACATTTGCACGGTTGGCATGAAGTCACATCATGGATATCATCAATGAAATTCTCATCATGTGTGAGTTTAAAAAATTTAATGAATAATATCACATTATCTTTCATCATATGATTTCACATAACTGAGAAATCTCAGCCTATTTGCATAACAGAAATCACATCATAGTTAATGATATCATTTTTTGCAATAAAGTGTCAATGCATAAAGGTGCAGTTCTGATCTTCATCGTCATGAACCCATCATTTCATTTTCGTAAATTGCATTCTTTCGCACTGATTCATTGCACTACCGTTACAGCACAAATGCATTTCCACCAAAAAACATCGCCATTAATAACTCGATATTTTTTTAAATAATTATCTCTCAGGTCATTTCGGCAACGTTGACTTTCTCACCGATGAATCCTTCAAGCGCCTTAAGCTTATGGTGGATGATATTTATTTTCAATATTGCTTTGCTTTCGTACCACGCCTGTGGGCGCTGTTGCCCAAATTGAATGAAGTCATTATGGCTGTACACTCAACTGGCTTGGATATATTCTGGGAATGGGAGGTGGCCGCTAGCTATATGAACGGACAGCAGCAAGAGGAAATACAGGCCTCAATGTACATGGACTTTGACGTGGGTCCAGTTAAATTGGATATGGGGAATTTTATTGGTTTGGTATTGCCATTGGTTGTTGGTGTTATTTTAAGTATTTTTGCGTTCATAGGAGAGTTAATCTACTTTAAATATATGGCGCAGAAGAAAATCCATGACATACAAATTGTGGAATAAAAGGAATTCCGAAGTAGCTTCGTGGCGATATTTTATTAATATACTAAATTTGTTTGCTTAAAATATTAATTATGATATTTTTATTAGAATTCTGATGAAAATTAAAATAAATTTTGGGGAAAAAAGAATCTATGATATTAATATATATATATATATATATATATATACACATATAAACAATTTTTATTATTAATAATATAGCGAGTCGCTTAAGCTAATGAAGATTCGTACGAGTCTCTGTACACAGAGAAAAAACAACTCTCTTATCTATACATGTGTGCAGGAAAATACTTATTTGCGGCAAATAAAAAATTCTTGTGTGCATAAACCACAACAACAGCGTAAGCAACGATGCTGCAGAAAAACACACAAATATTTCTTCATGCAAAGCTAATTAGTTTAGGAATTTCGGTCGTCAATAGTAACCCGCAAATCATCAGGAGGTGAAGAGTATACAAACAGGGAGCGACTAAGAAGACAGCCACCATCATAGCGAACTGCTAAGCAACACACACCACTAATTTAAGGTTTTTGGAGAATACTTCTTCTTCGCCATATACCATATCTGCGTATTAAACTTTTCACTTGCCACTCTCCAGGACACTTTGGACTTTTGTCGAACCCGAGAAGCAGCATTAATATCGATGCATATTAGAGCATCAAACACTCTCTCCCTTTCTCTATCCCTCTATCTCTCTATCTTTGCCACTGATATTAGTTTCCACTAAAATGCACACACTTACCCTTTTATAAGAGCATGTGTGCTCTTTTGTGCATAACCACAGCACAAATACGCGGCGGGCATACTTTTAGTCGTTGTGGTGGCGACAAACTCGAGAAGTTCAGCTATTTTGTGCCGCACATAGCTTTGTGGAGCGTTCAAGCGCAAATGCGCTTACAAAAACTTTGAGACGCACTTCTTTGCAGCTTTCACATGCAATTCAATATAAAGATTTTGTTATTTTCACGTAAAAAATTGCTACTTTGATCGCTCATAGCATTTAATTTCTCATATTTAAGAAATTTGTTTTTAAAGTAAGTTTTTAAAGTAAAAATAAAAAATAATACTATAAATTAGGTAAAGTAATTTTGTACAATTTCCAAGCTTATATGAAATTTTGTCTTCCCACTGTATATACATATCTCCTCACAAATGTTGCACCAAAATTATATGCCATATTCAACTTCTTCCACAGTACCAAAACAAGTACTCTCTGAAAAAATTGGAGGAAATACTAGAAATAAATAAGAAATTCTTACTAATAGAATGGAACTTCACGAAATAAATTTCATAAGACATATAACAATAACAAAAGCAGCATACAAAATAAAAATATTTACAACGGAAGAAATAAATAGTAAGTACAAATAGCCTAGCGAAAACAAAAATAAAAATATTGACAAATGCTCAGCACAAGAGCAAGCACGAGGAGGAAATATGATCAGTAGCCCTTTCAAATAAATACATAAATATATATCTCAACAAATATATATATATATATATATATATATACATATTTGGCTTATTTAATCGTTACCTTAAGTATATATATACATAAATGAACAGATAAGGGAAAGAGATAGTACTAAAGTCAAGGTTATAGTCTTATATTATTATATTAATTTTAATCGCCCGTTTAACATATTTTAAATTTTCTTTATTAAAATTTAATTTATTATTCTGTTTAATTTACTTCCATTTTCCGTATTCAAAATAATTTACTACTCTTTATTTTATTTTAATTCATTTTAATTAAATTAATTTATTTTATGTTATTTTATTTTATTTTGTTTTTTTTTAGTTTTTTTTTTTGTTTTATTTAATTTTTAATTTTTTTAATACATTTTATTTTAATTTATTTTATTTCATATTAGTGTGTTCTATTTGATTCTGTATTATATTAGTTTATTTTATTTATTTTATTTTAATTTACTTTATTTCGATTAATTATTTTGATATATTTAATTCAATTGTATTAAGTTTTTCCTTAAATATTTCCTTCATAATAATTTCTATTATTTAGCTAATGTTTTTTTGCAAAATTTTATGCGTGTAAACATTTTCATTACATGCCTTTTGCTTACGTTCCCTTCCCTTCTTCTCTCACCTTTCTGATTTTTTTCCAATGCAATTATTATTGGCTTCTAATTTTTGTGCAGCCTTACTCTTACTATCAAGTTGTTGTTTTCGCTTTCCAACAACCAACTAACTTTTTCCACACTCAACCGCATACACTGTTGCCCTCTCTTTCTCTTCTCCATCGTTTGCTCTCTTACATTTACCCATTTGCCTTCAGCTGCGTCAGAGCCAGCCACCAACAGCAATCATTCAAGCCAACTGAACTTTTGCTCTACAGCAACAACAACACTTTTTTCAGGTTTATTATTCGTTTGTGTATACGTGTATGTTCGATTTTTTTTCTTTTTCTCAGTTGTCATAGTTAGTGTTCGTTTTTCTTCTTTCATAGCAGTATTTTTATTTTTTCTCTCTTCTGCTTCGTTCGTTGAATAAAACTCAATCACAAATTATGAGGTATTATTGCCATGGCAAACTGTTGCGTTGCTAAGCAATCGCTTTCATCATCATCGTGATCGTCATCAACAGCATAGCATTCATGTGGGTGTAGTAGTAAATAGCAGCTGCAGCAGTATTAGTGGGCAATCAACAACTTTTTGCGAACAATAATAATAATAGCTAAGTGCCAGTGGGTGAGGTGTAGTGTTCTGGTGTTGGCATAACAACTTTTTATAGAAAAATATATATATCGGATGTATATACTGGCTGGCATATACACAGATATGTTTTTGCAGAATTATTTATTACTCTTATGAGCCTTGTTAATTGTAGTATAACTTACTGAGAATAGACGATTTACTATGTTCGAAAGAATATCTTTGTGAGTTACGCAAAATAGAAAGCTCTCTTCAAACCAGTTCTTAAGTTTTAGCTAATGAAATCCTGGAAACACCAGTTCTAACCAGTTTAACACACCAACTTGAGATGAACAGATGAACGCAAAGTGGACTGGTTTCGATTAGCAGGCACCAAGAACTGTACGGGGTGTATGGGATCTGATTCTGCTGAGATGTCGAGCAACTAGCATTGTTGTGACCCCCTCAAGCTACTAATAAGCAATATAGATTTCACGGAAATATTGGCACATAGTATTGCCAGGCTGCTAGATGTCTAACTCAGTTTTTACTCATACCAATCTTCAAGACAATAGACCTACAGAGAACAAGCAAGAGCAAATTAAAACAGCTATCTCAACGAATACTACGGTTTATTCAAATTCCCCGTCATTTTAACCCCAGTACATACCTGTAGCTACCTTGTCTCCATTTTTAACCAATTTCAAACGTAACTCGATACTGTAATCATTGGCAGACGAGTGCAATACATTTCAGCAAACACTCTGTCAGCTCTTTGAAAGCACTTATTTTGCCCATCTTTTTGAACAAGCTGAACTCGAGGACGAAAGGTGAAAGGTTTTCAAACCCATTCTTCCCCGTCTTACCTGTTACCAGACACATGCAAGTTACGCCCTTAGTCTCTTCACAGTGTGATCTACTAAACACAAACTTAGCTTATGGAGTATCATCGAAGTCTTTGACTTGGTTTCCTCTCTCCATATTTCCAACAAAATTTGCTTATCTCTCATATTTTCGTTTAAGAATACAAATTTCACTCACCTCAGCATTCGTAATAATTGATAGTAAAAGTAACAAATATATTTACAACATAACTCTCCCTTTGCCATGCCCACCATTGACCTAAATCCTCATGCACAATGCAGAGCTTTAACCAAAGCAACTGATTTACTTTTATGAACATTAAATTTCATTAAAAATTACTTTTCAAGCACTTGTAACACTTCAGCGCAGCCTGTTCTACTACCTTAGCTTACCCACCGGCACCACTACCACCACACCACTAGCACCACTTGTTGTGGTTACTAGCTTTTAACTTTGGTTTTTTATATGAAATTTATAGAAATTGTAAAATTGTTTTATGAAAAATATTTGCCATATTATTAAATTAAAAACTTTTCTAGTATGAACAAAGGCAAAAACAAGAACAATAACATAACACTTGCTACAATGCTAAATATGCAATGCAATTACAACAATGTAAGTACAAATTCAGTGGGCAGCAACAATACTATACATGGCAAAAAATAACAACAATCAAAGCTAAAGCAGGTGTTACAACAAATACGCACGGATATATGAATAATATATATGAAGAGGGAGAGAGAGAGAGTGAGAGGGAGAGAGTGAGAGCTAGCATATTTTCCATTTCTACTTGTTTTCTGCACTGTTGTCTTAATTAAAAATGCTTCAACTTTAATTAGCAACTTTAAACGTTGGCTTTAGCAGGTATGCCAAGAGAATGTGGTAAGCCGCCAGCTCACAGCTCAGTACTGGCTTCCAGTGTATGTTGTTAGAATTTTCTATTTTTATTATTATTATTATTTTGTTGTACTTTTTTCGATTTTTTTTTTTTGTTTTGTACGTGACCACTTTGTAAAGTTTGCTTTGTTTTTGTTACTTTTTTAATACTTTTAGCTATTTGGCTTTCCGTTTTCTAAGCTCAACAATTACTTTACGCACTTTGAGTTATATTACGCTAAGGCTTCATCAATTGCGCTCTCTTCTGCAAACGAATTAAAACTGCAGATAATTTCGCTGTATTTCCAAAGCATCTCCAGTTAAAGATGCCTTACTTTGTAATATTTTCTAATAACGTTTATAGCTAAACTAAGCAGTTTCTACGCATAGTATGTGACTTGATTTTTTCTCATTTCTTTCTTCTTAGTTCTTTGCAGCTTGTTTTAAGAGTAAGCTCCAGGAATTTTGAAATAATTTATTTTCTTAAAATTGTCTTATAAAATAAAATATCGAAAATATTATTTTTAATTTGAAATTAAGTTAAAAAATACTTTGAACGACGGACTCCCGCATGCTCCTTAATGCTATAGTAAGATTCTGAAAGCATT